CCTGTAATGCTCTCTGTGCCGCACGATGAACAACGTAATCATTTGTTTTTAAACGATATATATTTCTCTGAACTCAGTGAAGCAATTAGTATCACTCTAATTCAACAATATTCTAAACACCAATTACATGCCATCTTCTTGAAATGACTTCCAGTGATCACCTTGAGGGAAAATAATAATCTGCCTATTTAATTTAACTCCTTCATATGTATTCCCTTAGTTCCCATCGTTACGAAAATCCCGGAAAAAATATTATATTCGCGGTTAAAGTAATTTATTGAATCTAAACGCATTCTCAAACATTTTCAATTCGGTTTTCCGCGGATCTAGATCTGCCCAAACCAGTATACTTAGGGTATGGTCTGCAATCAACTTAGTCCTTGCTAAGGATGACATTCACATCGACTGCTTTCTGTATACAACACCTGTTTTCGATTTTGTTAACATTAACACATTAAAATCTGTCTCACTCTGTTTAAATTTCCCTGACAGACTCTGTAATTTAATATACGACCTCTTTCCTTACAAGAATATTTTAATTAACAATAATGAAGCCATCGTGCATAGGAAATCTTTCACAGGTGTTCTCCAGCGCCTTGTGCTAAGACTTTTGTGTTTAATTTATATATTAAAAAAATTTTCATTTTTCTTTTCGAAAATATATCAGTTTTGAACGATTTTCACATTTACAACGCCTAGAAGAAAGCTTCAGAGACCTCACAAAGTAAATATATTCTCGAGCAGCACTAAGTTCTGAATCGATTGTAATTATACAATATGCACATTAGTACGTTGTAAGCATTCTCCTGGCCGCAAAGATGAAGCTATCGATTTTCAATTTCGCAGAAGCATTAAAAGTTCTTGCAAGCAGATTGGTATTGAAAATGGGTCAAATCAGTCGAAAGACATTCCTATAGTACTACGTAAACTGAGAATACCTCGGTTTTTCAAAATGAATAAGAAATTAATTTTTTGCTTTTTACTCACCAAATATAGAAGATAAATCTGCAAATATATGCAGGTATTTTCTAAAGACGATGATGAAGTACCTGCACCACAATAGAAAAAGTCGGCTATGCCAGCTTGATCTTATAGTCTGTCATTTTAACAATTTCATTTTTTTTTCAACGCAAAGAAACAAGCTTTGAAAACCACATAAAGTATGTAAGTGCTTGTCTAGTTAAAATTCGAAATGCACCTAAGAATATCTCTCTATTCGCCTGTCCGTCTGTAAGTCTGCCCAACTGCGTAGTGTCTGTGGGAAACATTCTTCCGTTCGTACACCATACATATATATATATATATTATTATTATTATTATAAATTTAGCCAGAGAATAAATTCTAAGACTGAAGTCTTAAAGCATTAGCATCTAAGTCTTTCGGCTGTATTAGAAACTCTACCGCACTTGAGATTTGAACTCATGATCATTGAGTTGCTAGTGGAGACTCTAACCGAGTCGGCCACTCAGGCCGAAAAGAAAAAAAAATCAATATTGTAAAGTGTGAAAATTAGTATTTTAGCCTTTTTTTAGGATAGCATTGACGGGTATAAAAGATTTGGTCACAGCCAAATGTAATTTTCTTACTTGTCAGCTCTCACTCTGATGAATAGTTGTGCGTGAAAAAAATACAATCAGCCCTTGATATTATTTTCTCTCGCTTTGAGTGTCTCCAGCTCACGTTTCCTATTAATAAGGCCTCCTAACCTAATTTTTACCAGAATAGAAGAGACCCTATTGTTACTCCAACTCTAATAGATGGCTTCAATATACCCGTTGACAAAACTTCTTATTCTTTAGGTTCTGTCTTACATTTAAAATTTTTCCAGCTGCTCACATTAGCAAAATTATAAAACAGTGCTGTCAACTAATTAACGTCCTGAAATCCATTTGTGGGGTTTCGACCTCTCTGGTACAATCAAACTATATCTCGGGCTAGTAAGGCTAAAACTGGAATACACTTTCTCACTTTTATCGGATATTTCAATTGAGGATTTTTTTAAATTATATAGAACTCAATAGAAAAGCCTTCGCCTAGCTCTTGCTGCCATGAACTCTACTCACACATTGAGCTAAGAATAGATGTCAAACTTTATGCCTCGACTCGAAAGATTTCGTTTTCTCGCCAATGTCACCTTTAATAAAATTTGCATTAATGAGAGTCATCCGGCTTTACCTTTTATTTACGACTTTCTGATATACATAACTTATTTATAATTCCTTTCGGTTCACATAATTTCCAGCCAGTGATCAAGGTCTTGCTTTTGCGAAAGTCCACAGAAGCGAAATGCCGTTGCTTGAATTTGGTTAATATCAAATGCAAACAATTTCCATCGTTATTGAGAGATCTAAGTTCGACGCTGTAGAAGAGGTCTCTGGCTCCCCAATGTTAACATCGGAGCTTATTTCTGAAATCACCCATGCAGCTTTGCATTTTCGGATGAATATCTTGCGATTTTGAGTATTCAATCACAGAGGAGATTCCTTATCACATCAGAGGGTAAATCGATTCTATTTCCTTTGCAATCGCTTCCATCAGGAAGCGCTTAGATTAGATCTTTGCTATATAATCAATTCATTTTTATCTGGGTACCTAGTCATATTCAAGGAAATACCACTGCAGATAATATCGTCTTTTTCAGACAATGATTGCGTTCTGATTACTGCTGGCATGAAGGCAATTGACAAGAACCACTCTGTCTTTTGTTAGCAACAGCGCTGGAGTAATTTAATTCATAGTTGTCACATACACTCTTTATCTCCGAAAGTAAATATAGCACTTTGCTTTACCTATTGCAGCCTCAGACGCGTTTGCCTTATTAACAGGCTGATGTTTAACCACACGAGACGAAATGATCATCTGTACTAAATTAACATAGTGAGCAACTCCACATGCACGTTTAGGGTTTTGCAACCATCTTCTATTTATCTGTCACTACTATTTGCCATTCTACGCATCGCAAACTGTGTATATGTGGTCTTCATAATCGCAGCGTTTTTGACATACTGGTTTCATGAAGCTAACCGCCAACTTTGTTAAGATTCAACTAGAGAACTTCGTGTTTACATTGAACTATTTTTACTTAATTTGTTGATTTGCTGACTCGCGCAAGAAGAAGATTGTTCACAAAATTTTCATAAATATAATTGATCAAAAAAAAATTAAAACCATTTAATACCAGAAAGAAAAGATAATCGCAAATAAATAATTCGGTACGTTCCCAGCCGAGGCACCATGATCATTTGCCATCCTGCACAAAACTGAACTAGCTAGCTATGAACTAGGAGATGTTGAATAATTATAACAGTTGTGCATTTCTGGACTATATTTGTGCAGCAACAATAGATCAAAGATAGCAAAGACTAACAGACAAAAAGGCGAGCAGGAATTAATGATTTCTTTCTTTTAGAGTAATATTTCTGTATGATGCCTTTAATAGGATCATCGATTCTTTAAAAGTAATTCGGTTTGTTTGTTTAACAGTAATTAGGTCATTTGGTTTCCTGTCGACGTGAGTAAAAAAAAAATAGCTAATCATGAATTGATCGAAAAGAAAATCATTTGAAGAAATTCACACCAGGTTTTTAAAAGAAATGATTGTTGTGCTAAGAAAAGTGAAGTACCAACAATATTATTGTACAAAATAAGGATTGCTGCGCACAGAAAAAGTCACCGTATTCTTAAGGGTGATGCCCCTTTCAACGCAGTGATGTGTGAGTGATGTGTTAAAGAAGGGAAGAATCAAGGAGAAGATTAGCAGGGAATACAGGCAAACATGTGGAAAGTAGCGAAAAAGAAGTAAGTTCAAATTTTGAAATATCTACAGGTTTTTTTCAAAATAAGTTAAAACCATTTAAAAACAAGAAGAAAAAAACAGTCGCATATATAATTAATCATCTATAGAACGTCAAAGAAGGAAGCTCATTTTGCCCTTTAGCTCTTAAGAATCTTATTACACTTATAGTAAAGTAATAAACATGAATAGGTTGTCTGGATCCGAAGTTTTCGCTGGAAAACAAAACCATTTTTTTATTAAATCTTACATCAAATGTACAAAGATGAAATAGTTTCATTTACATTTTATGTAAGCATCGACAATAGGTTGATGGTATCAACAATTCGGAGTAAACCAAAAATGATTTATCTCTTCTGCTCTTGTACTTATCACCGGATAGTATATGCTCGTTTCGTCATTCTGTTTGTAACACTAGAAATGGCATTCGTATCCTCTTCAATGATGCTGGAATGGCTGTACCAAACTCGGCATTCGTCGGCAATAGAATTTAAAATTTAGCATATATTTTTATTAGAAGCATGTTGATACCCTTTTCGACGAAGATACCGTTTTTTTAATAAACGTTCACTTAGCATGAAGCTGGGCAGTTCTATTGCAATAACAACCCTATTATACGCACTAACCTTGTTTCGACAAATTCAGAATTCTACTCCTGCTTTTGATTTATATGTAATTATGAATCAACGCAGAGTTCAGAATAAATATATATAATATAGAACTCTAGAAAAACTCAGTTATATATTGTATTTTAGCACGAGTCCGAAGTTGTTGAATGACATATTTGAGAATCTATTGAAATTCTCTATATTCTTAAAATCTGTCCGATACCATATATCATTCCAAGGTACAACAACACTTTTAATTCTGGGCATGTCTAGACGTTAATGGATTAAAATTAATCTTGCTTAGGATATCTTTATTGGTTAGCTGAGTATTTACGCGAAATTTGAAAGAGACGTTCAGTGGAGGCTTTAACGTGCAGTATGCATATACCTTGCCATTAAAATTGCAAACTTCTTTTAGAATTATTAAAGTTATGCCTATGTTTTCATGACAAGGAAAATAAGTAAATAATTGGATCTTCAATGCTAAATGTGTTACAACTAGAATGATGACAATTAGTAAACGATTCACTTCCGGCGATGGGCATAAAAAAGAGTTACCATTTACTAAAACGCAAATCAATATTCAAATTTTTTACAGTCTCTGGATACGCAGTTTTGATTTGGAGTCCTGTGTAATGTGCTTTTCTCTCTCAGCCCTATTTGACAATGTATGTGCGCGACTAAATGGCTAAGGATATTGCAAGTATAGAAAGGGGAGAACAAAAGCAACAGCAAACCCACCAAGAATATCAGCGAAGACACCATCAATATACTTTATTTGAACTTATAGGTTTCATTACGTTCTTGAATCCTTTAGCTAAAATACTTTTAATTTTAATATGGACAATAAATGTTGGTAACTGTTTGCTGCATCAGCGACAAAGCGAGCAACAACAACTCCTGCAACAGCAAAATGATTTTCTTAGCCAACCGGAAGAAAAAGGAGCAGTATTTGTAACAGATTGGCTTAAAAGAAAACTGTGCAATAATTTGACTATTATTAACTTTTATTCTGTTGAATCAACGCCTGCAATTTGGCTAACTGATTTTAGCCGTAATGTAGTTGTTTCATTTTGGGTAAAAAGTTACAATGAAACAAAACAAACCGTCGCGTGCAACTCGATTCAGGATGTTTACGAAGACGACTTTTATTATTACATTTGGTTGTACAAATTGTTAATTTATATGTTCGTAGCGAGCAGTTTTGAGATTTTGTTGCTATTGGCCAGAAACTTACACAACATTAATCTAACAATAAGCCGCTGTTGGACATCGTTGAACATGTGGATGCAAAGTATTTTTTTTAGTCATCTTAGCTGCAAGCATTATACAAGCAATGCATTACTTCACTTTGGGTGCAAGGCTACAGACTCAAGGGCTATGTCAGAATTGCATCATAACAGTAATATTACTATCAATTTTAAAAAAGGCGCAAAAAGAAGATTAAAATCAGAAATAAGGATGATTACAGCAGCATCTACGATAGTAAAGACCTCGCCAAGAACAATAGAAACAACAGTCTCACTGAAACCTCTGCTTAAAAGGAAGGGACCTCTATCGTACGTATTTGCTGTACTTGGCTGCCATGTTAGTCCATCACGAAGTTGTAGTTCCGTTAGTTGCATGTTTCAACCGTATTTTAATAACGAAAACAGTACATCATTTGCAGTTAGTTATACTCAAGTTAGTGCCATGGGTGACTTTTTATTGCTTATGTTGTTTATACACGTGTATTACCAAAAACAACAGCAACAGCAGCAATTTGAACAATCTCAATCAGCAACACCGCAGCGTCATCAGTCACGCTATTACCAACAAGAGCACAGATCAACGAATAAAGCATTTTCATATCTAGGTGATCAGAAAAGCTGTCCCCAACATTGTGGTAATATGCATCAAAAGTTGTGGATGCCTACATATCATGTTTGTACTGCGCCGGTAGCAATACCAACGACTGTAAGTGCGACCGATGACATTAGTATAGGAACAAGACCTTCTGCTGTTGTTCAATGTATTTCTCGAAATAGTAAACTTTGTTCGTGCTTCTGTTGTAGTGGCAGTAATTTCTGGTTGCAATGCTGTAATTGTTATTGCTGCCCATGTTATTGCTGTTTTGCTTGCTCATTGTGCTCCTATACTGCGACGTGCTGTACCTCCTACAGCTGTATATGTTGTAGTATATGCGGGGTGTTCTGTCCAACGTATCAGCATTTTAAAGCCTGCTGTTTTATTTACTATTGCAATATGAACCACAAAAGCTGCAAATATTGCAATACTTGCTATCAAAACGGCCATTTAAGCACCCGTGCCACCGCCCCAGTAGAAATCGTTTGTGTGAAATTCTCTAAAACTGGTTTATTCAATAGAGGTAATTTCTTAGCATATTGTGCATTTCGTGGTGGATATTCGCCTTATGCATGGACCTTACCGCTCAGAACAATCGGGTGTTACGAAATGCTTCAAACTGCTAACGGGTTACGCACCTATGTATCGTTATCTAGCAACAAAAGTTACAGGGGAGGGGTATTTCTATTAGTTTACCACTATAATTATTGTCAAGCTGTAATGCAGGCGCTGTGTCAAATGTTACCGCACATACTAAAATTGCACTCGTGCGAGCGCAGTATAAAATTTCATCAAACACTCTGTGGCATAGTTCCTGTTGTCGTGGCAACGAAAATATTGATGTCAACTAATGAACATGGTAAAATATACAATTCAAATCCCTTACGTATATTTATGTTTACTAATTGCAAACGATTAGCTCGGTCTAACCACAAGAAGCGTCGACATCGCAAATCTTGCTACCGATCAACGCTAAATCGTTTATCACAATCGCCTTTCTGTAATTACAAGAATCTATCAACTAACAGAAGTGCTTCACCATCTAAATTTGTGACATCTGTTAACAGAATTGGATTGTTAGCCTCACTACCAACATCGAATTCTCTGCGTACCATTTATCCTTGTGCCACATCACCAATACGTACATTGCGCCGCCTTTGTGGTTCGAAGTACAATCTGACGTGGCTGCTTATTAGCCTTGTGTGGTTTGAAGGCCCTAAGCTAACGAATTGCAATGTCATAATTAATTACCAGTACCAATCCCCTCCGCCCACCAACACTAATAACAACAATCCGAAAGCTACCGTTACTACTAAACCGGATGTTGAGTTCGATTATAAAGCTAGCAACATGTTAAATAGCGTTCATAATGTTAACATCACAACTCTTACCAGAACAGCTAACGTTTACAATACTGGCAGTAAGAATATCCAGCAAATATGCAGTAATTACCAGATGCATACACGTGTGCAGCGCGCCTTGCCGTTTAGTAACATAAATCTATCAACAAGTGCCTCAAAATTGAATGTTTTATGGCGAGAACACTCATTTTCTAGATCAAAATTCGGTAAGTTGGAAAATATGTTTATATTTATAGGTAAAATTAAGTATTGCTTCGCAAAAACAAAACAGAGACTTCGGCTTTTTTTTAGATGTACACAGTGCCCTATACAGACTGAGCAATAACTATTACTTTCCGCCGTAGGTCTTTTCGGTTTGATTGTTGTTCAATAATATATCAGTCGTAATTTTCGTAACTCTTCTGATTGTGAACCCCTTGTTTGCACACACTAACGATTTGCATTGCGTTCTTTTTGGTTGGCTTTTTTTTAAATGATTCGACTTTTATTTGTTGGAAAACACTGAATCTGAAATCTAAGTTTTTAATATATGCGTGATTTTTTCTAAAGTTTCTTCCATTTGTTTCATAAATGATGACTTGAAATCTATGCTTCGATCGGTTTTCTATGGAAAACACAATCACAGAACCAAATACTTTTATTTAAAGTAAGGTCCTATAGACAGGTCTATATCTTTAAGTTCTATATGTTAAAGTTTTTTTATTGAAAATCATGTTAAAATAGTGTAGTCGGGCAAGGTCACGACTACTAAATGCTCTATAAGGCTTCAGCTAATAGAACTTTTCATTACCTTAGTCCTACAAGGTCCTAAATTATATCTTATATAAGATCATTCTTATAACCCTTATGTGTAAAGTCGTTCGAAAAATTGAACAATGTGATCTAAACTTAATACAATAATTTTGTAAGTCAAGATAATACAAATCATGAAATACAGGAAATTACAGCTTTTTGCCATATAAAGATTTATTAGTTGTAATTTTTACGTGGAAGACCATTCAAGGCCCAAATCCCCCCAAATTTTGCATATTCTTTCAGTATGTTAATATATTGCTTTTTGGTTTGTGCCGAGAACAATCAAAACGTGCAAACTTTTCATACAACGTCTTTAAGGTTGTATGGAGAGTAATCGAAAAATGAACCGAACTAATGCATTTTCGATAGGACTCGTCCTTGGACCAAAACATCTTGTTATACCAAATTTCATCAAACTATTTCTTAAAAAAAAAATAAAAAAGGAACAGGCAGAGATATTGACAGGATTAGATCGGTTTAGAAAATGATGTTAAATCGACCAGCATATGCGGATGTTATTAACATTTATACGTCCATAAGTTGGTATAAGGTATCATAAGGATCCCTTGACACATCTATACCATGTGAGCTTTGACTATGTATTGTTATACTAATATACGTGTACTAGGCACTGCTTTAGATTAGGGTAAACAAGTGTACCTCATCGACTACCGTAAATATTGGCACAGATGTCAGCTAGAATGCGGCCAATCTAAATCATAAAAACAGATTAGTATTTACAAATAAATAAACTTTCTTTACGCTCCTCTATTTCGATTTGGAATTTTGTTCAGCCATTATAATTCGTTTTCTTTCAGCTAACTTTTTCGCTGGCGCAACACCTATCCAGTTTTTATGTCGTTTGCTTCAAATAATATCGTTATGAGTGTTTTCATTAACGTCAGCGATTTTTCGAACTCTGCCAAAAATTTATTTTGCCTTCCGCACTCTTATGACTCTATCGATGAGTTTTCTGAAAGTTGAATTGAATTTTGCCTCCGATAAAATTTGCAAAGTAAAGGCCTGTAATATTTTATTTTCTGCCTTTGCGCACGCTATAGTTCCCTGAAAATTTTTTTTTCCCACATCCAACAACCACAAAAGCAAGTAAGAAAATTAAATTCGGTCGGTTTTTTATATCCATCACCGTTATCCTGAAAAAGACAAAACAAGTGGATGGCCAAAATTTTCGTGCTCTATAATAAGAAATGGGCTGCTGATTTCTTTTATTTTCCGTTTAGGCATGTGGGCGTTATAGGCATATCGTGTGAAAAGTTTAGATCAATTCCACAATCTTTTGCAAATTTGTAGGCGATATCTTCATTTTCGCTAACTGAAGAATGTTTACCACAAATGCTACAAATCTGCGCAAACAGACAGATGGACAGACGAACAAGCGGTCATGTTTAGGTGCATTTCAAATTTGAAACTGGCCAAGAATTTGCACATTTTATAGCGTTTTTGAAGCTTGTTGCGCTGAAGCGTTATAAAGGTATTGAAAAAACAGCTAAAGTTTGATGCACTATAATATTGGGTAAGTGTGGTAAATTTTACCCATTTTTGTGCACAAATGCTGCAGCATCGCCCATACAATATTTTATCGAATTTTTGCACATTTATTTGTTTATGAGTAGTGAGCAAAGAACCAATTTTTCGTTTTTATTGTTGTCAGTTAAAATATCAATCTGCGTGCAAAAACTTTCAATGCTTCTGCTAAATTTGAAGCCGATAAGTGCGTTTTTGCGACCACGGGTATGTTTACAACAGATATTACACAGACCGAAGTGCTTAAGTCGGTTTAGAATTTGATACTAATCAAGAATATATATACTTTGTGGAGTCTCTGATGCTCTCTTCTGGGTGTGGCGAGCGTTTTGACAAAGTTAATGTACCCTTATCCTTCGGTGATGACTATAAAAAAGATATGCAACTATTTCTCGTTCCGTTAATTGTATTTAGTCACTTTTAGATTGCACATATATATGACACGCTTGCACGAGCTGAGTACATTGTTAAGTAAAATCTTCTTTTCCATTTTACGTGTTTCCCTTAACGCACTCAGCTGTAAATGTGTAATAGCGTAGACTTTATTTACAAATTTAGAATAACTGGCTTGCAGAACTTTCTTTTAAAAACAAACAAGACTTAGATATGCCAAATTTTTGTTGATAACTGAGGTTAGGAGATTGTTGGCCACACCTTTTTGTCGGTCTGTTATATATAACGCTATTAATTAGCAGCCATTAGTATGCTTGCTCCTCCAATCTCGTTATTTGTAAGGCCAATGATTTTTTCATAGTTTCTTGTAATGACGTCGCATTCTTTTGAACGTTTGCAAAGCAGAAGCACATATAATTTCGTGTTTTTACGCGAGTATAGGTTTTGGTGTGTACAGAAGTGTGCATGCAAAAAGAGGCCCAACAGCAGGTATTTATTTGGCAAATGTAATTTGTTTTATTTTCATCGTTTGCTTTGAAGAATTGGAGAATTATAAATTTCATATACCCAACTGCTTTTACAATGTTTAATGAAAATTATCATGTAAACGTATATGAAGAATATACATTGCAGCTTGTTATAATTATTTTTATGTAATTTATTTATTGTTTATATATTTATTAATTTTATTTGCTTATACATACATATTGGACATATCTAATCCAATTTTCCATATCATGTATGAAATATTTTTCGCGGCGCCTATTCATATTATATTATTATTATATTTTTTATAGTCCAGAATTATACTCCACAATTATTTCAATTTAAATATAATAATAAATAATTATATATTTATTCATTTATTTATTAATTAATTAAATTCCGCTACAGAACAAGTCATTGGTCGAATATAAGCTACAAAATAACTTAAACTGTAGTATAAAAGAGAAAATAAATAAAAATAAATCTGAGATTGACATATAATGTACAACAAAATTCATCTGAGCACTAAATTAAGATACTGCGATATATATTGATAAATGAGTATGAGGTTGTTTGTGCATTATTAATAGTAACAAATAAGAAAAATTCAAATATAAAGAAGTATTTTAATTCCATTCACCTATATTTCTACAAAACTCAAAAATTTTTTGATTTGATTGTTAAACTTGAATTTTGAATCAAAAGCAACTTTGTGATTGCAGACGTTTTCTAGGATGTGGTTATCAATACGATAATAAGAGGGCACCGTATTACTACATGTAAAAGACGTATTCTTACATTTTTTTGAATTCAGCATCATACCATTGATTGCACACTGTGAGCACAGGTTCTTAAGGTTAGACTGAGGAAGTTCAGTATCACGTAACGAATCGAAGGAAAGAGATAGATGTCTTTGTGGGTTAAACGTGGATACACTACATTGTCGCTTTAACCCCAAGGTGCACGATGACACACGGGTTAATTTTGCGTAACCGGCGTCCTGCAAAGAGTGAAACAATCCCTATAAGCTAGGGGCCTAAACTAAACTAGAGACTGGACATACTAGCTTCCATCACGGTTTACACAAGTATGTAAATTTGGCAAGCACCAATTTGCTGTTGCAATTTCGCTTTCATCTCTACCTGCAGCTACTTGTGACATAGTGAGTGGGCACCGTGGAGCTTAATGTTAGCCAATAAAGCCTTCAGTCTTACTTCACGCGACATAGTCACTCTTGCCTTCGGATAAACCATACCTTCCCTAGCTAGCCAACACCGTACTACCCTTCTTCAAGATGTAATAGCGTCGGGTGTTACATCTGACATGGCGGGCGTTAGCATGCTTTCGACTATTACTATATCGACGTATTTTACGTAACCCTTTACCAGCTGGTTGATTAGTATTTCCTTCTTAACAATAGTCTGTGAGAAAAGAGTGCTTCTTCGAACATACCCCTAAGATATCTTTCAGAAAACTTGTCGCCAAGTTATACGTAGGCCAAACTCTTAAACTCTTCTTCGCCGTTCAAGACCGTCTCCAGGTATCACGAGAAGGTAAGAGAGGGACAATTTAACGTCGTGTGCAAACATTAAAACGCGGGAGTGTTGAATGCACTCTGGAAGGTCATTTGCGTACAAAATTAAATAAAGCAGGCCAAGATGACTACCCTGAGGAACACCAGAAGTGACGACAATTAGTCTGGATTGATAAGCATTCATCACCACCCGTTGGATGCGACCAGAGAGATAGCTGCTGAACCAGGCAATTATACTGTCCGACAAATCAAGGCGATGTAATTTACAAAGTAACATCCTAAAAGCTTTGGAAATGTCCGTGAAAATAAGATCAGATTGTTTATGATCGAAAAACGATTTCTAATTTGGATTGCAAAAGCCCAAAAGATTAGTAGCAGTTGATCCCTGTTTTAAAAAACAGTGCTATATCATTGATCCTAAAGGAATGGCCTGCACAAAGTTTGGCAAATCCT